CAGACTTAAACAAAGCTTGCCCCAAGGACAGTTACCCGCTGCCGAGCATTGAGCGCTTGGTCGAAGCAACGGCTGGCAACGCTTTGTTATCTTTTATGGATGCCTTCTCCGGGTATAATCAAGTGCTGATGCATAAAGACGACCGTGAAAAAACAGCCTTCATCACCGACCAAGGGACGTACTGCTACAAGGTGATGCCATTCGGGCTCAAAAACGCGGGAGCCACATAACAACGCCTCGTCAACAAGATGTTCGCCGAACAGTTAGGGAGAACTATGGAGGTATATATCGACGATATGCTCGTCAAGTCGGAGACAGCAGAAGACCACGTCCCGCACCTAAAAAAGTGTTTCGATACCCTGAACCAATACAACATGAAGTTGAACCCTCACAAATGCTCATTCGGCGTGACAAGTGGGGAATTTTTGGGGTATATCGTGACAAAGCGTGGGATCGAGGCTAATCCCAAACAAATTAAGGCGTTGCTCGACATGCCATCGCCCCGCAATAAGCGCGAGGTGCAGCGGCTGACCGGCCGCATAGCCGCACTAAACAGATTCATTTCGCGATCAACTGACAAAAGCCTACCGTTCTACCAGCTGCTCCGCTCCGCAAGTAGGGATTTCTGCTGGACAACCGAATGTGAGCAAGCCTTTGCCGAGCTCAAAGTTTACTTAACGACTCCCCCCATCCTGTCCAAACCCGAGAAAGGCGAGAAACTATACCTGTACGTTGCAGTGTCCAGCTCGGCCGTAAGCGGCGTGCTCGTTTGGGACGACCGTGGTGAACAACGTCCTATTTTTTACGTTAGCAAGACGCTCGACGGGGCCGAGTTGCGCTACCCAATGCTGGAAAAAATCGCGTTCGCCGTAGTTATCTCAGCACGGAAACTTCGGCCCTACTTCCAGTCACACTCCGTCACCGTGCTCACAAACCAACCTCTCCGCCAAATTTTACACAGCCCAGGACAATCAGGCCGGATGGCCAAGTGGGCAGTGGAATTGAGCGAGTACGACATGGAGTATGTCGGACGGACAAGCATGAAGTCGCAAGTTCTAGCCGACTTCCTTGTCGAGTTACCGCCCGGCCTTACCACGGTAGCTAAGCCTGACGAAAAGTGGACCCTGCACGCCGACGGTGCCTGCTCGCAGCATGGCTCCGAGATCGGCATCAGACTTACATCCCCGGCAGGGGAGATAATCGAGCAATCTTTCCGACTAAATTTCGCGGCATCAAACAATGAGTCTGAGTACGAGGCCCTGCTAGCCGGCATGCGTTTGGCCGTCGAGTTAGGAATCAAACAACTCCAAGCCTACTGCGATTCACAGCCCGTCGCCAACCAGTATAACGGCGACTACGAGGCTAAGAACGAAAGAATGGACACCTACCTCACGATCGTACGAGGCTGAAGCCTATAACAAAATTCAGGCAAACGAAGTTCAAACGGTTGTCTGGAAGTTTATAATCTGCCGCCATGGCCTACCATATGAGATCGTTACCGACAACGGATCACAGTTTATCTCGAAAAAGTTCGACGATTTCTGCACAAGCTGGCGTATCCGCCTAAGCAAGTCGACGCCCTGGTACCCACAGGGAAACGGCCAGGCCGAAGCAACAAACAAAACAATCGTCGACGGACTTAAGAAGCGCCTCGAAGAAAAAAAGGGCCTTTGGGCTGACGAGATGGACGGCGTCTTGTGGTCACACCGAACCACACCACGTCGCGCAACCGGCGAAACGCCATTCTCGCTCGCATACGGAATGGAGGCAGTCGTACCCGCCGAGGTGAGCATCGGCAGTCTTCGCCAAACGACGCTCGTCGAAAACCCCGCCCTAAACGATGTTATGATGCTAAATAGCCTAGACGAGGTCGAAGAACTGCGCGACCGTGCACTACGCCGCATCCAGAACTACCAAAACGCAGCAGCACGTCATTACAACAAAGGAGTGCACTTGCGGACATTTTCAACAGGCGACCTCGTGCTGCAAAAAGTTTATGAGAATATTAGGGAAATTAACGCAGGCAAATTGGGCGCTAAGTGGGAAGGCCCCTATCAGGTCTCTAAGGTCGTCCGACCCGGCGTCTACGAAATCCTTACTATGTCCGGCGAGGAGATTCCCAGGTCATGGAACGCGAACAACTTAAAGAGATAGTACTATTAAAAAAAAACGATGTTAAGCCTGGTCGGCAAAAACCGCCAGCTCGCTATATATATATGTAATGTGAACTACGATCGGCTTGATCCTCGAAAGGGGTACGTAGGCAGCCCGTCAAAAGGCACAGCTGTTTGTAAAAAAAAAAAAAAAAAGGGGAAGACCTCCTTTATTAATATAAAAAAAGGGGGGGGGGGGCGAAACGCCGATTACAAACTTATTTCTACGACCACGCAAAAAACAAAGATAAAAGCTAAGCAAGAAAGAAACTACTCGGCCGCGCCCCCTTTTTCCCACATGCATGACCACTCTCAAGGAATGGCCCCGGGAGGAGGAACCAAATCCCCATCCGCAAGAAAAGGCAGGGCAAGCTCGGCCTCAGCTCGAACCCAATACGCCCTCGTCTTCGCCGCCTCTTCAAGTCTCCACGGCGAAATCTGCACTCGCCCCAAAACCACCTTCTCCTTCAAAAAAGAGTCAATGCTGATCCACTGGCTCCTGCTACGAAAAATACCCTCCGCCTCACGAAAGGCGACCACAAACCGAATCAGTCGGGTGACGCGGTCACGATAACTCTGCACCCCCTCCAGCCGATCAGGATCGTCCTCTTCCCGAAAATGAATCAGGTCGGCAGGATCGAGAGGAGGGACTTCAATCGCATCAACAACAGCTTTCTTCGCAGCAATGACGTCCGAAATCTCCCCCTTCAAACGCAACACCGCAGCCCCCTCGTGCGGGAAAACGTGCTCGACGTAACCCTGCACGCCCAAGCTCATCTCGAGCTCATGCAAAGGAAACCGTCGCTCCTGAAGAGCAGCGATGTGTGCGACCAAGCGGCGGACGCGTTTGAGGTAGAACTCAGGCTGCGCCTCCTCAGCATAACCTTGGAACCATTGCCAATACTCGGCGTCAACTTCATAAGCGTCGCCGTCGATACGACGACCAACGCCCGGCGTAACGGGGCTCGACGGACCAGACATGGACACACACTCTGCAACAACCTACAAGAACAAGAGAGCAAAAGCAGGCAAAGACGTAGCAAGCGTAACTGGGACCTCTAACCCGTGCTACTTATATAAAAAAGGGGGGAGTGGAAATCGAGGCAACAACCATAATTAATTCGCCTCGATCCACGCAAACAATTCGGTTGGGTAACAACGCCCTTTATTTCATCCTTATAACAACACGTTACAAAGGAGGTCGACTCAACTGAGCCAAAAAAGACGAACAACCGTTCGGCCTAAAAGACAGTAATACACAGACGAACAATCGTTCGGCCTAAAAGACAGTAATACATAGGCCGACAATCGCTCGACCAAGCGATAGAGAAAGGAGGCCGAGCAACAAAGAGAATGGTCCGTCTGGCAAGGCAGCATGTAGCCATCTCGCCAGCAGAACACTTCATAGCATTCGGAGCTCTGCCCCCCACGGCAGAAAGGCCGACTGACCAACAAGCCCAACCGAGCTCCCGCCAACGCCCCCTGGACCTGACGACCTCCTCCCGCACACACCAGCCCGGCGACCTACAATGGTCAACAGATCGAAACCTCTGCCGGCAAGAAGAGGAAGCGTACTCGTCACCACTTCTAGCTTCCCGGCGGATCTTTTTATAGTCAATCGTTCGACCAAGCGACCTAATGTTTGAACACCCCTTGCCCGGGTATGCATGATCTCGAACATTTCGACACCTCGATATCGACTTCGACACAAACGAATCTCCTCGACTTCGGCAACGACAGACCCGCAATCGACACATAATCTCCGGTCGCGCAGATCAAACCGCTGCGCGTAGGCAACAAAAGCGTACACCACCGCTCTGCTAAGACGCGCATAGCACCTATCCCCATCATCTCTTTCATCGTCTGCTCGGCGGGAAGAAACGATGACCTCCCGCCGTGCCGACGCATCGTCCCGCGGTCGACGGCCTCGCATAAAAGTACACCCGACGAACACAAAGACCAAGCAGGAATTGCTATGACTGGACAATGGACCTGCCACTCCTTTTATAGCAGAATACTCCGCGGTTCCCAAGAATGGCATTAAAGGCAGTCACGTCCCAACTACTCACTAGGCGACGGACAGTCAACACCTCCCCCGGAATCACCCACATTCTCCCTCGAAACTCTCAAACTCGACTTTTAATTCCCGAGTGTTTCGGAAGTTGTGAAGGCTTCCGCCTCGAAAAACTCGACATTTAATTCCCGAGTGTTTCAAAAGTCGTGAAGGCATACGCCTCGACAAACGCATTCCCACTCGCCCAGTCCGCGTCTACCACGCGCCTATCGGCCGTCGGCCACGCCCAGAGACTAAGTAAAAACCCTACGCGACTTTCTCGCGTTAAACGGTTCGGCACGTCCTATAGCTAGGACGGCAGAACCTCGATCGTCGCCCCCGCGGCACACACAATCAAAGTCGGGCCTCGACACCAGAAAATGGTCGTCCCGCATGGTACTTCGGTTGACAGGGCCAATAAGCCGTGCCAGTACGCTAACTCTGTCAACCTTTGCCAAAAACTAAGCCGGATCGTAGCAAACGGCACGGCCGGCATCCGCAAGTTGTATAGCCTAACAAACTAAGTTGGGAGAAGTCCCTCTGTTAGAATAAAGCATAACGAAATATGGCTAAGTAAGAAAGTGCGCCGACCTTAACAACGGCCAACATAAAGTTGGATTTCTTTCAAAGTTGCAGGTCAAAGTCTCGAATAATTCCGGCAAGTGTGCCGGACTAAATACCGAGCACATGGCCGCAAGCAAACATCAAATATGCCGGACTAAATACCGAGCATACCAACATCAAGTCTCGAACAACAAAAAAAAAAAAAAACTAAGTCCAAAAATCCACTCGGCCTATTCCGCAGTCTCGACAACAGGAGCATCGGGTGCAGCTGGAACATCATCAGGCGCAGTAACCTCGGCGTCGGAAACCCCGGTACCCTGTTCGGCAACAGATCTCTCGGCAGCAACCTCCAATGTCGAAGCCTCCTCCTGGCGAGCAAGGATCACTGCTGAAGTCTCAGTCTCAGGCTCAAGATTCTCGATATCGACGAACTCATCATCCCGATCGTTCGTCACCTTCTCCCCCTCGTTCGGCTGTGTCACCTCGACGTTGGAGTCAAGATCAACCTCTCGCTCGTTCCCGACAGGACCATCAGCTCCGCATTCACCTTCGACCGGAGCGACCTCCTCTCCCTCGATCTCCAACTCCTCAGGATCCATGAACGACTCGTACTCCTTAACATCGAAGACGACGTCGTACGGCAAAACAGCACAAACCGGCCTCTGCGAAGGAGGGGGCGAAACGACGTACCCATCATTAACCAAAGGCTCAATCTCCAGCCGATCGACAACAGTGTCCCACCTTCTCTCCCCACTCTTTAAGGAAGCTAAAGTTTCATCAGGAATCGGGACGCCACTTTCGAGCAAAGTCTCAGCCAATTGCATACAACCCTCGGCCTGCGCCTTCATCATCATGGCCTGGAGGGAGAAGCGAGAATCATAGATGTACTGCCGAATTCGGTCGGAGCGAGTTCGGTACTTGTCCTCCATCTCGCGAGCAACTGAACGAGCCTTGGCATCCACAGCAAGTTTCGCCTTGGCCTCGTGTTCGTCCTCGGCAACCTTCGCATCTTCCAGCTTGCGGCGAAGCTCTTTGTTCTCTTCAGCGAGCAACTCCTTCTCCTTTTGGACCTCCTCAAGTTTAGCCCTGGACCGATTCGCCGCTCTCATCTGCTCCTTTAGGCCGATCGAATTGGTCTCGTTGTCGGCCTTAGCATTCCGGTATTTGCGGTCGTATTTCTCGATTATACCCCAGGCCGAACAGTTCGCCTACAGACAAAATGTTATCAGCAAAGCAAAACTCTAAAGGAAGGGGGAGAAGACCCCGCACACCTCGACAGAAACAACTTACCCGAAGCTGATCGCGAGCCCACTCGTTCACCAAGTCAGACTCAATCAAATCGCTCGCCATAAGAGTCCCAGGAATCTTGGCCATGTCGCGGAGAAGTTCACCGCATGCCTGCTTGTCTGAGAGAAACGGGGTCTCCAAGTCGGACGGCAAGCGAATAGCCGTGGACGGCGTTTCAACTCCCTTGCCCTTGTCAGCGGGATCAAGGGAATTGGGACGAGCCTTTTTCTGAGCAGCGCCGCTCTCACAGATCGGCGAATTGCGACGCTTTCGAGAGTCGTCCCCCCCAGGAGCAGGCGTTTTGAACGATAACTCCTCTCTTCTCCTCTGCGCCGCAGCCGCACAAATCGCAAGGTCTTTTCCGCGCCGACCACCGTGGTCCGGTGGGGGACGGCTAACCGGGTGTTTGCTTCCTGAGCTTTGCCCCTCGTAGCCAGAATGACGCGGAGCGTACTCCCTCCGACTCAGCTCAAGCGCCTGCTAAAACTGACGAGCTTCGTGCCTACCACCACTACGACCCTTGTTCGTCCGGGCCGAATAACTCGGTACTGACATCTTAACCATACCTCCACGACCTGCATCAAGTCAGTCATCAGCTCGGGACGACCGAAACAGGATGAGAAAACGTTCTAATGAACCAAAAAAAAATAGGGGACGAGCCTATACCTCTCGGATTCTTCCCCTTTTTCCCCTTTTTTCTCTCCTTCAACACTGGCACAGTCTTGAAGTCAAGTGCCGCCTGCCTCTTCAACAATTCTCTCGTATCGACGAAGTTCGGAACCGGCGGATTGAGAAATTTGACGATCGGCTCTGAAATCAAAGAAAGAAAAAGAATAGGGTCAAAAATCCGAGACCAGAATCAAACGCACCGATCAGAAACTACCCAAAAGAGCTACCGTGGGCTAAATTCCACGTGGTCCGACACGCGATCGATATGTCCTCGACAATAAACGGGTCGACCTCGGCAAAGAAATACTTGTTCTCCCAATGGTGAACTTTGTTAGGGAGATTCATAACCAGCTTACATCCGGACGCAACATTCAGATAGTGAAGGCCGGGGTTGTTGGCGATCCTGGACATCCCCATCATCTCCTCCATCAGAGGAGCCGTAAGGGTAACTCCACATCGCCGAGCAATGTCTTGAAGGATGACCACGTTGCGCAGAGAAGAGACGGAGAGCTGCGACAACGCAATATCGCGTCTGCGGCAGAAATCCATCAAAAACGCCGGGAGTGGGAACTTCATCCCGGCCTTAGAAAAAAGCGTCGTATAAAGACATATCCATCCGTCGGGACACGAGAAGGCCCTTTCGCTCGTCCCGGGGATGCGGAAATGAACTGGAAAGTCGATCTCGCAGAATTCGATCAGGTCGGCTAGATCGAGAGGCTCACAAACCGACCTCCCAGCGTCGTAGGGGTCCACCTCAACAACATCGTCATTTTCAGATAAGACGACCTCCTCATGCCCGCCAACCGGAGTGTCCGTCGTCGGCGTAAGGCGAGAAGACGCCGACGAGGCCGCGTCCGAGCTACTCGAACCCGACGGCGAGCAACGACCATTGTTTGCAGAGCTTGACGATGTATGCTCGGCCAAATATTGTTCACAAGAACCCGACATTGACAAGTACAAAAACTAAACGATACAACCGCTAACGACGAGGACGAGCTAAAAAGACAAGGGGAAAGAGAGCAGCAAAATAAATACCTGATTTCGGATGAGAAGAAAAGTGAAGGCCCGAGTTCGGAATTAGGGTATTTATAGGAAGGCGAAGTCACGTCAAACGTTATTTCGAGGTCGAGGCACTCATGACGATTCGTCATCATTGCGTCTCGAGGCACGCAAGGGACGCGACCCGCCGACTTCCCCGCGTCTCGAAAGCAGTTCCAAAGCAATCGCGGGCCACTAAGCAGATGCCGCGTGGCATATCGAATCACCACCATCTAAGAGTTACGCCGAATCAGATAGGGGGCGTAAAGGCCGAACTTTAAAGCTCATTAAACCCCAATTAATGGACTAAAGGGGGGGACAAATGTTGGATATGGGCCTCAATTCGCGAGCCCCTTTCCACTATTTACCTGCCCGGCCCGGAGGAGAGCGAGTGACGTGGCGCTAACCCGCGGAAGGCGACAAGAAACGAGTATTCGGGCCTCAAACGATCGGCCCACGACGACCGGCCCATGACGATCGGCCCATTAAGCCACGCGCCAAAGTCGGTGTCCTGTCGCATCATTCTCCTATAAAAGGAAAGAGAATTGATGTGACAAGACATCATGTACGTTCCCAAGGACAAAAGTACCTCCCAGAGCTCGACTTTAGTAACTTAGATTGTCGAACAGATTTATAATCTTCCTTTCTTGTAACTGCCGATCTCTGATTTGTAAAGACGAACCTTTTAGCCCGACCTTGAATTAATATCCTTGACATCCCCCTTTGTGCCGAGCACTATACAACAAATCCTAATTTCCTAAAGTCTCTCAATAGTTAAAAGTTTTAATTGATAACTGAAGATGAATGTGTTTTTTTCTGCAGGTTGCTCAACGGATAGGAGTGAAGGTTTGAAGTAAAAAGCATATGAGAGAAATGGTTCAGCCACATGTTCATGCTTCAGTTTTAGCTTTTGTGTTCAGGTCTGAAGTACAAAGCATTTTGTTCATTTTTTTCAGTTTGTTCAGAACTTGTATTACAAGTGAAACAAAATTGTTTTATTTTTAAGAATCCCTCTACCATTGGAGGAGGAAAAATTCAGGAGTTACTTAAAAAATGCTTAAATTAAATCTTTTAAAAAATTATACTTAAAATAATGATAAGCAGCCTTTAAAAGTTCTTGCCAATGGAGATGGTCTAAGGTCTACCTTTTCATGTGACTTCGAAGGCTCCGACGGTTTCCTTGACACGCCCTCTATCAGTAACCACCGTCTACTTGTCCTCAACTGTTCAGAGATAACCAAAATATCTTCTCCAAAATTCCAACATGAATCTGGAATTTACTACTTACTACCATATTACGAGTATGGTGACTTCTATGAATAGAAAATAGAAAAAAACATATTGAATGGAAAATAGACATATCTTATTATATAAACCTTGGTTTTCAAAGTCAGCCATTAACAAGATCGTGACACGTGTCAATTATAAACGATAAGATGTTAACACGTGTCGTAACTAATTTTGTTAATATTTGGATAAAATAGAAATATTATTAACCCTATCGAAAAAGAAAATATATAAAATAAATATTATAAAGAATTATATATTAAAATTTATTAATATAATTAAATAAATAACCTAATTTCAGTTATGTCAATTTGGTTTATTAATAAGATAGGGATTTAAAATTTATAATTAACAAAAATCTATGACGGTTTTTGTTTACAGAAGAGGATTAAGGTTTAAACTTTATTTTTACAATTAAATCAGGTTATTTGTTGGTTTGGGTATATAAATGAAAAATAAGAATTATGGTTTATCTTTATAAATTAAAATTATGGTTTAAGTTTAACAATTAAACGAGATTATATGTCGAAACTTGGTTTTTATATTTACTAACTTACGTGATCATGAAAAGTGTCAAGTAAAAACATAAGATGTCGCAACATGTTATATCTAATTTTGTTAATATTAAGATATAAATAGAATTTTTAAACAACATTAAAAAATAATTATAAAAAATTCAAGAGAATGTTTGAGAAATACCCCTTTTGGTGTACCCCTTTCCAAAATTACTTCCTTTATCTATCCATTTTCAAAAATATCCATGTTTAAATATGAAAAATTATAAAGTTTTATATGGTTTATAAGGTACTTCTATATAATAACTACTACTTGGAAATTTGATACAAATATTTTATATGTTTTAAAAGGTTTTAAATCGTTTTTACAAGTTTTATAAGGTTTTTAAGTGGTTTTTAAAAGGTTTTATAAGGGTTTTGAAAGGTATTTATAAGTTATTTTACGCTATTTATGAAAGATATATAAAAATTTAAACACATATAAAGGTAATTTGTGTGTATATTTATAAGTTTTCAAACATATTTGGATAAATTTCAACATTTAAAGTGGTTTTTTTAATAAAGTTTGAAATAGGGGTATTTTTAAAAAGTGGTATGGAAAAAGGGTATTTTTGATAATTAAAAAGTAATAAAATTGATATTTATTAAAAACAAATGTGTAAGCTTATATATTTAGACACAAATTATCTTTCTATATGTGTAAATTTAAATATCATATAAATACCTTTTAAAAACCTTTTAAAAATTATTTTACAAACATATAAAAACTTTGTAAACCTTATAAAAACCTTATAAACTATATAAAAGTTTACAATTTTCATATTGGAAAAGAGATATTTTTAAAATGGATAGAAAATTTGTGTATTTTTAAAAAGGGGTACACCAAAAGGGGTATTTCTCCTTAACCTAATTTTTTGTTTTGCCAGTTGTAGGTTTTACAATTATAAGGGTTATATGTTGAGTTTATAAATCTGCATTATATTTTAGATTTTATAATTAAACGAGATTATTTATCGGTTTGGGTTTATTAAAGAGGTGTGAGATTTAGGTTTTACAATTAAACAATGTTATTTATCAGTTTGGATTCATAAAGGAGAATTAGGATTTACAGTTTACAAATAAATTAGAGTTTGAGTTTAACTAAATACATAATTTTATTCAAGATTTTTATTTTATAATATGTTATATTTGTTTAATTTTTAATTTATGTAAGAATGTATTATGCCATTGAGCAATTTCATTGTCTAAAACATAAGGGTGAATAAAAGATTTTCGAAAATAATATTTTTAACTTAAATTAAAGATAACAAAGTTCAATATAAATCGTAATATAGTAATTTTAAAAATATTTTTAAAGAAAAGATGTAGTTTTTTATAATTCGTATTTGAAAGATTTTTTAATGTTTTCCTCAACGATGCTAAAATTTATTTTAGAATCTTTATGTTTATTTGCGTTGTTTATATGAATTTATTTACAAATGACTATATTTGTATTTAACATCATATTTCAGATTGATATTAATTTGAAAGAACTTTACCATCATATTAAATAATAATTAATTAATTTTCATAGTCTGAAATTTTTTTAGAAATACCCCTTTTGGTGTACCTTTTTAAAAAATACTATTTTTCTATCTATTTTCAAAAATACCCCTTTCCAAATATGAAAAATTATAAACTTTTATATGGTTGATAAGGTACATCAAGATCATCTTTATTATCGGGTGATTGAATCCAAATATTTATAAGGTTTTTATAAGATTTTTATAAGGTTTACAAAGTTTTTATAAGGTTTTAAATGATTTTTAAAAGGTTTTAGTAGGTATTTATGAAATATAAATTTAGAAATTTACACACATATAAAGATCATTTGTGTCTATAAATATAAGCTTACACATATTTTTTTGATAAATTTCAAAATTATAGTGACTTATTGATAAAATTAGAAAGAAGGGTATTTTGAAAAAGTGTTATTGGAAAAGGGGTATTTTTGAAATTCATTTTTGAGAAATACCCCTTTTGGTGTACCCCTTTCTAAAAATACCCCCTTTTTCTATCTATTTTAAAAATACCCATTTTTAAATATAAAAATTATAAAGTTTTATATAGTTTATAAGGTACTTCTATATAATAACTACTACTGGGAGATTCGATACAAATGTTTTAAAATGTTTTAAATCGTTTTTATAAGTTTTATAAGGTTTTTAAAAAGGTTTATACGGTTTTTATAAGGTTTTTATAAGGTTTTTATAATTTATTTTTACGCTATTTATGAAAGGTATATAAAGTCTTATACACATATAAAAGTAATTTGTGTATATATTTATAAGATTACACACATATTTGGATAAATTTCAACATTTTTAGTGGGTTTTTTTGATAAAGTTTGATAAGGGGGTATTTTTAAAAAGAGGTATATGAAAAGGGGTATTTTTGAAATTCAAAGTTAAGAAATAAATTTTTTTACAAAATGGTATAATCATGTTTTAGAGGATAATTGCTAAATTAAGATTTTTTAAAATTTTTTAGTAATATTATGAGTAATGGTGAATAGCTCTCAAATAGCTCCCAAATGTTTTGGTGATTGTCAATTTGACTTTATTCGATTTTTATAATTAATGCAACAAATAAGTTACGATAAGTGTGTGACTAACGAAAGCTATATGACTTTAACACTTAAAGATATATATATATATACACGTTTATTTGATACTTCAAACCAAATAAAATCTCTTTCCAAATGAAATTAATTTCTCTTTTTTCAAAAAAAAATGGAAATTATTTATTTATAAGTTATAATGAATTTTAGTTTTAATTTAATTTTAAATAAAGATAACCCGTCCATCGGACGGGTACTAAACTAGTAATGATATAATAAGTTCTCTACGGGTCAAGTTTAATCTTATTTGTCAATAAGGAACTCTTTATAAGCAATTTATAAGCAAAACAATTCCAAATCACTTACTTTGATTTAGAATCCCAAATCAAAAACAAAAGTTGGTCAAATTTCTTAACTGATTCGTGTTGTCCTTAGTATTGTAAATTGTAGCACAAATGGAAGGGCAATGAATCACTGCAGAGAAGGTAAAATTTATTGTGATCTATCATTTAAAATCTTAATTTAGTGACCTTTAATTGATTTGGAAAATTTTAATTCTGTGGTAAAAAACCTCACCAAAATTACAATAGCTTTTCCCATCTAAATCAATGTTTTTTTGGCCGAAATTTCAACATAGTTTTATTTATTTTCTAAGTCATATATATCTATATATATATTTTCTTATTTATCTACATATATATATATATATATATATATGTTTATGATTAAGAATGAAAATATATAAACCATACCTAATTTAACTAACTAATAACTGTATTTTTAATATAATTATATTACTAAATCTAAGTTTAAATATAGTACATTTTATTTTAAAAATACACGCACTTATAGTTCTGAAAATTCAACCCACATAAATTCACCAATAAATATTATTGTACATTTTATTTTAACACGATACATATTTAAAGTTTTGAAAATTTAACCCACATAAGTTCACCATTTAATACTATTAATTCTCGCAAATACATATAATTGACCAATGCTGAACCACATATTAATATATTTTCAAATATAAAACTATTTTCTTAACTATATTGATATTTATTATCATTGTACAAATTTGAGTTACTTATAGTTTATTCATATCCAACCAGATATATACCATACCAAATACATTCAAATTTTGCAAATAAAACAATGTGTATATAACATTGTAATCTCTATATTAAATACAATAAAGAAACTCAATCATTAGTATACTAACTCATTTAAATGTTCTACAAATTTTTTGATATATATAGATCCGTGGTGTACCACGGGGTAAATTTTAGTTGGTTATTAAGTTGTTGTTTTGGTTAATGTTATGCTACTTATTGGTTATTAAGTTGTTGTTTATGGTTAATGTTATGCTACTTATTGATTATTAAGTTGTTGTTTATGGTTAATGTTATGCTACTTATTGGTTATTTTGTTCTTGTTTTTGGTTATTGATCGGTTATTTTTGGTTTGAATTGGTTATTTAAATACTTTGATTACAGGAAAAAACCGAACTGATCATAACCCGAAAATATTTCGGTATATTCGAACCGACCTAAACCCGACCAGTTATTAACCGAACCGAACCGAATTTATTGTAATATACTAAATGGTATCTATATGTCTAATACCAAATTATCCGATATTCGATTGGGTCTACCCGATTGCCTAGAGCTACCCGTGTCCAATACCCCCTCCTTCATCAAATTGGAAAAGCAAAAAAAAAAAAGAGTTCTTTTTAAAAAATTATGCTAAAACCAATCACCGATATCACGGGTCCGAGTTCCTAAACATGTTGGATCAATTTAGATGCGAAGATCTGTAAAGGATCCGATAAAAGAAGAAAGAAAAAAAAACAACCAAAGAAGAAACAACAAAACTTGGAGAGATCTGAAGGAAGGAAGGAAGGAAGGAAGAAGAAGAAGGGGGAAGCAGATAACATGTCTGCGATTGTTTGCGGAAAGAGATCTCTGTTCGAGGACTTAGCCGCCGCTTCTCCTCCTGTCTCCAAGAAACTCCGTTACTTTTCTTCGTCTTCTCCGTCTTCGTCTCGTTTTTCTCCGCCGTCTTCCTCGCTTCTTCTCGATCATCTCGCCACGATTTTCTCCGATATGGATAAGCAGGTCAATTCTCCGATCTCCGATTTTGATTTTGTTGATTTATTGTGATTATCAGTATTGAGCATATCTATGGTTATTTGTGATTCTTGATTCTTGATTAGTTTTTGTCGTTTGGGCAAATTAGGGAAACCTAATTTTCTGATTTTTGTTTGATTTGGTGATGAAATTTGTTGACTTTGTTAGATTATTGAGAGGGCAATCGAGGAATGTGGAGATGATCTTGATTCAGCTATTAGATGTTTGAATCAGCTTCGTTTAGAATCTGCTAATAAGAATTCAGACTCTGCTACAAACCAATCTCCTGTTGTAATCCAGGAAGCTAATATTGAGACTCAGCAGCAAGGTAGTTTTGGAGTTTTGTGTCATCATACTTATCTCATATCAGTCAGAGAAGTCTTTTAAGTCTAGTATATTTTGTTGAATTGTTGTCATCGTTGTGTAGTTTCTTCCCTTAAACTTGTTAACAGATATCTGATTTATGATTCTGGTCTTTGTCTTCATTGGATTAGCAAAAGAGGAAGTCTTATCTAATGGAGAGCCAGATGTCATGAACTTGGATGGTAAAGAGTGGGTTGAGCTTTTTGTTAGGGAAATGATGAATGCTTCTGATATGAAAGACGCTAAAGAACGTGCTGCAAGAGCATTGGAAGCTTTGGAGAAGTCAATCAATGCACGTACAGGTGCTGAAGCACTGCAAAATCTCCAGCAGGTATTTTGTCTATCTATCTTTCTTTCTTTCTTCAATCTTCGCCTATGATAACAGTTGTAGCCGGAGAATGGAGATTGGTATCTGTCTATGGTCATCCGATTTGCTTTGGTTATTAGGAAAACATGATGCTGAAGCAGCAGTTAGAAGCCATTGTACAGGAAAACAGTTTACTAAAACGAGCGGTAGTGACGCAACAGAAAAGGCAGAAGGAATCTGAAGATCAAAGTCAGGAATTGCAGCATTTGAGACAGCTAGTCACTCAATACCAGGAACAATTGAGAACTCTAGAGGTCTGTATTACTATCTTGACCTTAGCTTGTACAATTTTGTTGTCTTTTTGTCGATATGATTGTATTGATTGCCCTTTTACAGGTGAACAACTATGCTCTGACTCTTCATCTGAAACAAGCTCAACAGAACAGTTCCATCCCGGGACGGTACCATCCAGACGTCTTCTAATACTTTGAAACGCCCACATATATCTAATTTCGTTTCCAGTGTATGTTTCTCTCTTGGTTTGTGACTATTTATATACAAGTGTGGAATGAATCATCGATACTTGGGGAACACCAGTGTCTCCAAAGTCAAAACTGTTTTTTTCTTTTCTTCTGCTACTTGTTGTTGTTGTTGTTGTTGTTGTATATATTGTCTCTCTAGTCAGGATGATGGATTCCTCAGATATAAGATTTATTGCAACCAGTTAACAAAGCACCTAGTAGAGTTTTGTATAGTCTTTAAACTCAGACCCCATCAGACGTTGGTCAGAGACATCCTTGCTTCTGCTGCTTAAAAGTAAGTAGTTTCTTAGAGTGTAAAGAACATATAAAGCCTGTTCTTGGTGAACAAAGAAGCAACATATATGACATGGTATTTGCTGGTAATACTAGTACCAACGAGAGGTGTTTACGACAAATGACACTATAGATTAGCCCAGGGCATATGGATATTCGGGTTGGTTCTAGGTAGGAACTGATCGGTTCTGGATCTTTTGGGTATAAGAAATTTTTATCCATTTAAAATCCAAGGATATCGGTTCGGATCGTTTTAGTTCCGGAGCGGTTCGGTTCTACATTTTTTGAACTGTATTATATCCAAAATACTTGGTTATCCATTTGGTTTGGGTAAAATGGATCTGTTTGTATGTGAAATGTAGCAAAATTCCCAAAAATAAAAACAACTGGAAGGTAAAAGTAGATTAGGTTTACTCTAGATCCAGGTAAACAGGTACCCATTCGGTTCTCGGGTAATACTTGAATCCGAGCCGATATCTATTGGTAGAGAAGAATAATATGCATCGGTTATTTAGGCAATAACCGAATCCAAACAAAACGGGTTATTTTTGGATCGGTTTCGGTTCGGATTTTTGGATCCGGTTTTTATGCCTAGGGCTACTATAAATATATCAACCTGACTGTATGAGAACAAATGACGCTATAATTTTAAGTATGGGATTACTAACCGAACCAAGTCGGTTCAGTTTTAGTTTTGGTTAAAGCGGCTGAAAAGAAAAAAAAAAAATTCAGAAATCCGATAATATTTTGGTTCGAGTATTGGTTAACCTTTATTTTTTATTTATTTTAACTTTAACTTTTTTAAAAAATATATATATATATGGGTGATTTAGCTGAATATTCATTTCCAATAACAAAATGAAGAATATAGGCCAATAACGAAGGAAATTAAGTAAGTAACATCAGCCCATTGTAAGTTTACATTAATAGGGTCACATGTCATGGACGCGCTTCTTGCTGAGGATGAGTAAGTATTGTAACGTGTAGATATTAGTTGCAATTTTAGTTTTATATTTTCTTTAATGTTCTGAATTTCTATTTCTCAGATATAGTATAAGAGATGGAAATAGTATATAAGACCACAGTGGCTAAAGTTATCAATAGTCAGCTCTTTTACAGGATTTAATGCTTTTGAAATTTTTCAAACCATGCAAACTCATATATAGTTTTTTTTTTTTAACGAAGAACACTATACCTTAGAGGACACGAGATTGGCAACCCAAGAGGAAGCCAATTAAGGTTAAATATATCAGATCCGATTTCATTCCTCACTCAGCTCGCATCGATATAGTCGTGACCACTACTGTTCATCTTTTTTTTTCAGAGTCGACAAGGAATCCCTAACTCGTATGAAGATGAGTAGAAGTGGAAGAGGTGTTTAAAAAAAAATTAAAACAATATTTTTAATAAAAGAAAACATAGGTGTAAGCAAGTGGAATCGTTTGGGCGAGTGAGAAACTGAACAATGGGTATTCATGCAAGGAGGATAGGCAAGGAAATAAGACATAAAATATACAGCATATTACTTTTATGTGGTTAGAATGGTCATCAGCTTAATTATAAAAATTTTGGAGGTCATCCATGCGAAAATCCCATAAAATATTATATTAATTAATCCGAATAATCCCAAATGGGCTAGACTGCCTTACACGAGAAATCCAACAACAAAGGAAAAACGAAAAGCCCACAACCAAAACAGGAAAGCTCTGATCCTGCTGCTCGCCGGAGGCAAAAGTGAGCGGAGCCTTAGATTCGGCGGGCTCACCACAACTTTGCGGCCAGGCCGGAGGGTCGGAAACCACTAACGGAAGAGACCGGTTTCCGTTGGAAGTTCTTCTCCTCTGATGCATCGAACCCGCCACAAACCTCTCGGAAATCTAATCACCCAGACAACACGGTTCCGCGATGACGAATCTAGCAAAATGCCACACTCAGATCTATCTTTTCCCCTTCTTAGCCGGAGCTTACTGAAAATCCGAGAACCTCCTCCTCGATCTGGATGGGAGGATGCCAGAAGCGGTGGAAACAGATGGCGGTGGCTCAAACCAAACCCTCCGATTCCGAAACTACGCCCCAGCCATCTAAGCTCTAGAGATCTACAGCTAACCTCCACATCGAACGACGAACCCTCCTAATCTCCACCAACTTCCGCCACATCCACAACGACCAGATCTAGCGACTGAGCCAAGAGGATCTCTGAAGCATCCCCGCCGTCTTCAAAACGGGAACCTCCGCTGCAAAGAAACTCCACCGCACACTGGATGCCATAGCCACATCGATGGAGATGCCACACTACCGCCGACAGGGAGAGGAAGAGGACTCATCGTTGGATTAACAACGATTGACAAAACCCTAGATGAAGAACAAATAGGAAAAAAGAGAACTAGACTGAGGAAGAAACAATCGCCTTCAAGAGAGAGAAGCGTAAATATCGAGGCAACAATTGTGCTTTTTTTTTTCTTAACTATATAGCAACCAATAAAATAACTAAACTACATGAAATCACCTAATTCAAAATAACTAAAATATTTGAAATAATATTAAAAAAACCCAAGACTTTTCTAAAAATCCAACTTTTGGTTCATTTTGGTATTGAAAATATAAAAACGAATTAACTGAACCTAAATAAATTTTGGTTAACGGCAAGATTTTAAAAATTAAAAAATACCAAAAAACCGAAAATCGAAGTAACCAAAATACCAGGAATAGTATATATTCTTCTAATGAAAATGAAGCTTTCATTCGTCTTCTTGATCTCATATATTCATAGTTGCATTATAGCGATCCCTATCGTTCCCAAGTATTGACGAAACTTAAGTTTTGTTATTTTAGTTACGTTTGTTTAAAGCCATGTGTTCCTACTTTACTCTATTGACCAAAAGAGAAGACAATTTCTCAGGATATTTTATTCTGCATACAGAATTTATAAGACTAAAGAGAAGGGCAAAACAGGAAACACATAATTTAGAAAAAAAAAAAAATACATAAACCATTTTAGCGAGAGATAATATTAGCTTAGCTGGACAACAGTGACGTCTGTGCTGTTCAAATCTTTTTCTTCGTCTCTTCGTCAAAATAATTATTCTCTCTCGCAGCAGTCCACAGCTTCCTTCTACAACAATGCAGGTGAATCATGATTACCTTTGATTTCACCATTCGAATGTTTCAATTTCTTGAGCTACTCTAACAGTTATGTTTTGTTGTTTTTTTTTCTTACTGTCTCTTCGAATCCCGATGTAGACAAGAAGTGTTCAAGTAAATAATGTCTCAGATCTAGCTACAGAGAGGGAGATTCACGAGTTTTTCTCTTTCTCAGGCGACATAGAACACATTGAAATCCAAAAGTATGTTGTGTCCGAACCTTAACTTTTGTCTTAATTCTTTCTGGTTAACAAAATTTGAAACCTAATTTAAAGCTGTTTGTGGAAATTTTTAGGTGCAAAGAAGTTGGGCAGTCTCGAGTCGCATTTGTTACGTTTACTGATCCTAAAGCCCTTGAAATTGCTTTGTTATTATCGGTATGTGATAATTTTCTTTGTTATGTCTATTTCACCGACACCTTCTATGTCTCATGTTATTCATACAAAACATATAGCTTTCGTTTAAGGAACTTATACATTTGTGATACTATTAATCTATAGAGCTGTTCAATGTCTTGTATATATATTAGATACTAAAGCTCTTTGTACAAAACTCTTTAAGTGTATATTTTGTGATAACAAATGGGAATCTTGTATACATTTAAATGCTAATAGAATCTATTACATCTTCTTTTGTAGGGTGCGACGATTGTGGACAAGATTGTTACAATAACTCGAGCTGAAAACTATGTGAGGCGTGAGATAAAGGTTGTGTGTTGTTTTGAATCTGCTTCTGCATGATGTCTTAGTTTCTGACGTTTCTATATATGCAGGAAGTAAGAATGGTGGACAACGCAATGCCCCTTGGTCTTCAAGAGAGTACTACACAGGTTAGTAAAACTCTTGTAGGGAGTTCAAAAGAGCAAGTTTGTGAATATTATAGTCTTTAAAACATGTTTTTATACAGCAATAATGTAAAATGAACTCCATTTGCAGACGAAAACTACGGTGGATGGAGGTAATAGTAGAGCATATGTTAGCAAAGCACAAGATGTGGTGGCAACTGTTTTGGCAAAAGGTTCTGCTCTTGGACAAGATGCAGTGAATAAAGCCAAGGCTTTCGACGAAAAGCATCAATTAAGAGCCAATGCTTCTGCTAAAGTTTCGTCTTTTGACAAGCGAGTTGGGCTTACTGAGAAGTTCACTGTTGGTATTTCTGCTGTTAATGAGAAAGTAAAATCTGTTGATCAAAAGCTTCAGGTCTCCGATAAAACCATGGCAGCATTATTTGCAGCCGAGAAGAAGTTAAACGACACTGGTTCAGCTGTCAAATCAAGCAGGTAAAGAATTTTTGCTTTGAGAATCGATCTGGCAGGAATCAACATCGCCCATCTTTCAAAGTTTTTTTGTTCCTGACTTCATGAATTGATCATTGTCAACACTATTATGATGATGAACCCGTTTGTTCTGTTTATATTTTTTTGATTATGCTTCCAAAAAGATACGTGACTGCTGGAGCTGCTTGGTTTAGTGGAGCTTTCAGTAAAGTTGCAAGAGTAGGTCAGGTTGCTGGCTCGAAAACCAAAGAGAAGTTCAATCTAGCAGTCTCAAATATGAGTTCCAAGGTGAGTCATCAAACCAATCAAGTGCAGAATTTGTTTTGTTAACTGTGTATGATAATTGTAGTTTGATGTACTTACCTGCTCCTTTAAGGGATGACAAAGTAAACTGATTAAACTGGCTTCTGCAGGATACACCAATTGCTGTATAATAAAAAGGTAAAAAGCTTGGACTTAAGTAAGCTTTGAAGTCAGGATCAACGGAAGTTGCTATGCTGGCCTTGTGTAAACAAAATTTTTGTGATATAGGGTATTCTCATTCTTTTAGTGTTCTGTGTGTGCTGCATTGTCTTCAAATTTACTTCATGTTTCTTATAAGTGCAACTGTTTTTGGATTTCTCAGTTTCTTATTTAAAGACCTGGTCTTTGATTGTATTGTTTTGCTTTGTAAGGTTACTATAACTGCATCGATTAATGACTACGCGATTATAGTTTCTCTTCCTATAGCTTATAATTTGATACTCAAGACTTATTTGGTTTGTCCACGAGAAATATACTATGGTAAACCACTTACACAATGCGCAATTAAGCATCCTTTGAAAGAAACAATATGTTTATATCCAGGCTTTTGATGTCCTAAAGGTCTCGATGTTCGGTTTTACACATCTAAAGCTGAAGTCTTCTCTCATGTTCTGGCTTGACCAAGTTTTAGATTTTGACACTAGTTGACAAGTCTAATACCAAAAAACAATAAACAAAAGCAGGATGATTCAAACATAACCCCTTCAAACGGGATCCGGTGCTTCAACCCATTAATTTCACTTCTTGTCCCATGCTACTCCATCTTGGTCTAACAGACGCTGAAGAAAGCAATAAAACAGAGTAACTCTAAGTTACTTGACTACAATATGTGGAACTCAAATGGAAATAGGCGTTGTTAACTTCACAAACCTGTTTTGCTTTGGTGAGTATTCCCGTCTAAAGAGGTCATGAGCAGCACAGGGGCTTTTCTGTTTCTGACCAGCTTGAATAAAAAGGTGCATCCAGGTTTTTGACCATTGGCCTCACAGAAACATTTCCAGCCGCGTGAGATGCTAAACTTGCGAGAGCATTTACTGTATTTCAAACTTAACGTCCATGTCCTTCCATGTTTGTTCATTAAATTTATCTCGTGAAATTTTCCCTTCAGTATGTTTGATCTTGAAAGCCTAACTGGAAGATACTGCAATACCAAATAGTTAGACTCAAAACTTCGAATTATCTCTGGAATGTACAAGCTAGTGTATAACAGTAGGAATAAAGTGAAGTGCTAACCAGTCTGTCTTCCCTTAGATTAGAAACTGTGACAGATACCACAAAGCAAGAATTATCTGACAAAGACAATGATTCCGCTTTCGCAGACTCATGTTCTACTTCTTGCTTAATATTTTGCGAGTTCTTTCCTGGATATATAAGATTCCCTCATTAATATTGCATTCCTAACTACATATCAAAACCAAAACAGTGGTGAACTTACCAATGCTGCCCTCATCCTTTTCCAAAGGAAAAATCCGGAGTATAGGTGTTTTTCCATTTCGGACCAATATGAGCTTTAAGAAAGAACCAATTTCATGTCCATTTCTGCAGCAGAAAGCTCTCCAGCCTCGCCTGACTTTAAACCGACAACTTGATTTATCGTAGCTCAAGTTTAGTATCGATGTCCTACCTCTTTCATCCATAAAAACAATCTCCTTGCACAGTTTACTCAGACCACTTGAGGTTGTAAGTCCTTTTGGAAGATTCTGCAAATTAAATATCCCATGTTGATCACACTCATTCATGAGTATTACTAATTCATCCTACAAAATTCAGTTAAATAGAGTAATAAAAGTTAAATACTTCTTACAAATGAATCAAGTCGTTGGTTTGAAGCTGTGACAGGGACCACAAAACTAGTGTCGTGTGATGAAGAACACAAACTCTTGGGATCTTTCTTTACTAATCTATCTCTTATAAGCTTTCCAGAGTCCACTTTCATCTCCTCTTTCACAGACTCATGTTCTACTTCTTGATTAGTCTTCTTTGAGCACTTTGCTGAATCGAACACGTTCCACCATAATTCATAATCATTGCATTCTTAACTACATATAAAATCCAAGAGAGTGCTTAACTTACCAATGTTGTCCTCATCCCTCTCCAAAGGAAAAACCCGGAGCACAGGTGTTTTCCCATTTCGGACCAATATGAGCCTTAAGAAACAACCAGTTTGATGCCCATTCTTGCAGCAGAAAGCTCTCCAACCTCGGCTGGCACAAAACCTATTAGTTGATTCTTTGTAACAAAGTTTTATTTTCGATGGCCTGCCTTTTTCATCCATTAGAATCATCTCATTGCACAGTTTACTCAGACCACTTGAGTTTGTAAAACCTCTAGGAAGACACTGCAAAGAAAAATATTCCAAGTTGATAGGATTATTTATGCAGATTCATTCAGTCCAATATAAGAGTTATAGAGTGAAAGGACTAATTACAACTGAATCAAGTCTTTGGTTTGAGGCTGTGACAGGCACTACAAAATCAGTGTCCACTGATGAACATTCATTTCTTGCGGTTTTCTTCACTGTTGTAACCTTTCCTGAATCAGAAGCACATGCATGCACCACAAAATAAACGTCAATAGCTTAGTTCCTCTTTTGGTAGTCGAAAAAACAGTAAAGACTCTCTCAACTTATACCTGTCTTGTCCTTGACATCTTTATCGTCTTTTTGTGATGAGTAAGAGTAACGTATCTCACAAGAACTCTGTCCAAAAGTTGTAACATGAAACAAGAGATTCCCTTCGTGTCTGAAAACAAGAATGTCTCCGACCTGAAGATTGTGAGCCTCTGCGAATTTCTCCCATCCTTTGGACAATCTTCGGCCGTCCATCTTAATTATCCAGGTCATCTCTGACATGTCTGATCTCAGTTCTGCTGTGTTGCCCTCTTGTCTTCCCTCTAGATAGTTTGAGTAAAAAGCTTCAGGAATCAACTGCAACCAAAGAAGAACAGAGTAAAATATATATATGTAACATGCAGAGAGGCGACATAGAGAGAGATATTACAATAGAGGTGTTGAAGCCTGGGAGAATGGGCTTGAAGAAGTGAGGCTTTGCTGAAGAGAACAACACTGAATCGGCCATTGACGAACCAGTCAAATTCAAAATCTTCAGATTTTTGTGAACATAAAATGAGAGAGAGTTATAAAGCTCGAGTCTTTTCGTTTTCCTCACGCTGTTCTGGTCTGGTCTTCTTCCACGTACTACTTCTCAATTAGTCATAACTTTGTAATATTTTTTTTCCTTTTTAAAACAATAATCAAAAAACTAAAACTGTAACAATAACCAAACTTTTATGGCATTTTTAATAGGAACACATAATTATGTATAGATGGCTCTTCACTGTTGTTGAGTCCAAGCATAAAAATGACATCTCGGCATCACAATTTTTCTGTCTAAAGCCACAACAAGAGATCATCCCAAAGAGCAGCAACAAAAAGCTCATCAACATGAAATTCTAGACGCGACACGAACCAAAGGTTATCATCACCACCATCACCATCGGTACTCACAGTTGCTGAAATTTGTGTGGCTCTTGATAAAACTGGCCACTCGGCAGTATATACACCAATCTCTTCATATATTGTTCTACCGGTTTTACTCCCATCCAAGAGCAAAGGAATGAATTTCAGCCCAGCTTGAAACTGTGTAAAGAGTGCCAGAGAGTCCTTTCCATGTTGATGATGATTCTTCTTCAGTGTATTGTTTCTGTTTCTGGACGATTCCAGAGAACAAAGGCACAAATGAGACCCCAAAATGGGTTCCCACTCTCCTAAGGCTCGAGCTCGAGCCAACCACTATTCCTATATCTGCTTCGAGGAGACACAGCAAGTCACCTACTGAATCTCCAATATAAACAGTCAGGGGGCTTTTCTTCTCGTTGATATCCTTTCCATTTTGTAGGATACTTTTGAACTGTTGAGCTTTGTCGATTGGGGATTCAACCTTTCTCTCGATTTCACCAGTCGAGATGGATTCCTCGAATGTGAATTCATTAGCATGTACTTCCACTGCATCTGCTCCACCTGTAAAAATGAGATTGCTTAGCATAGTTTCTTAATTTTAGGACCTGAACTGTCAGCAAAAATCGTGAAGCTAAGGATATTGGCACATACCAGCACAAAAGGCTGCCCTTATAAGGTCACCGCACCAACAATACGAAAGCACGTGAACTTTTGCATTCAGATTCTCAGTCGCTAAGATTTTCTTGAAGACATTGATGCAGCCATCTTGAAGAATTAACCTTTCCCCAGCTCGCTTAATGTCTTCAAGATTCAGGCCCTTGAGTACACCAGACTCGATCACTCGATTGTTTGCCTCATTCTCAAAATCTGAGAGCTGCTCTAGTGCTTTACATAAACCCTCATAGTCAAACTTGTCCGCTGCAAAAGAACAAAAGAACAAATTTCCCACATTGAGAGAAAAAAACAGACAGAAAGTCTCAACCATCTTATAAAGGGCATATAAATTATTATAGTCGTTGAATCTGTATAAACTAACAGTAAAAAAGTCTGACCTTTTTGCTTATTCAGAATATTCTCTATGCATTCTTCATAATGCTCTGTGTATTTTTTAGAAAGTAGATTCCAGGTGTTCCTAAGGTCAGATGAGAGCATTCGCTGAATTTGTTGTCCAGATCGACTCAATTCATCTTTTGGGGCAGTTACGATTGCTATTTCCGCTAAAATAGCAGAAGAATCCACAACGGTGCAAGTCAGATCAAAATCAGAAAAGATCACCAAATCATTTTTTGAATGGTTCTTGAACAGTGGAACTATGGTAGGCTGAGCAAGCGGCTGGGCATGGAAAAACTCTACTTCAAGTTTCATAGCCTGTTGATACAACTTTTCTATTATGTCCAATTCTTCACCAGTCATAGAGACACTAAGCTTCTCAAGCAAGTCTTCAGTTTGCTTGGCTGACGCCTAGATTTAACAGAAAACAGACTATTCATTATACAAGATGCATCATCTAAAACAGCATACTAAAAACCCTTAAAAGTTCACAGAATAATGCAGAAACATACAACTATGACATACCTCGAAAGCATCACTAGAATAATTATCGATCCATTTCTTGTAGGGTTGGTTCACATCACTGGGGTCAAAAAGTGCTCCGAACTCCTTACCGAGAAAGGCATACAACCTCATGCAAGGTGTCACAGCACCAAGCGTGTAGGCAGCAACTTTTGTTTTTTCAAATGGAGTATCAAGCATGCCGGGAGCTTTGCATCCTTCTACTTTACCGGATGCTGTAGCTAACAAGAACTCAGTGTATCTCAAAGTTGCTGAGTTTGTACTTACTTCTTTGTTGATGTCTAAATCCCAATCCTGCAAGGATCAGACAAACGTACTACTGAGAACAGAATTTGATAGAAAAATTATAATAATGATGTCAATGATATTAGTATAATAAAGCTGACAGAAAACTTAAGAAGTATTTTTCAGAGTTTAGATTCTATTCTATGACTTTAATTTTATTACATCCGATTCTGTTATGTTCTTTTGTCCAATTCTTAAACTTACATTGCAGGGATTTGGCTGAAAACTATATATCATAGTAAAAGACTATGAGATATCAAACAAATGAAAGTAAACTAATTAACAGCAGTGTATTCTTTTTTCCTGAGATGATATGAAGATGTTTTACAATCCAAACAAAGCAGGAACTATCTAGTTAATGGTGATGCTCAGTTTCTAGAAATTATGATAAGTGAGCATGTAATACAGAGAAGACCTTTATGTTTTACCTGTACAAATGAGTCGTGCATTTTCAATTCTTCCATCACGCTTTTCCTCAAGTTAGAAATTGCCAATTTATCATCATCATCATCAGCACACTCTGCTGCCAACTCATACCTAAAAAAGCAGGAACATGTTTTAATAAAGAAAGCCTTGTATTGAAAGGTTCCCAGAGGGTTGATATAACCAACTCTTTATATCTGATAACGGATACGCTAAACAAAAAGTTCCTCACATTCATTGTAACACAATAAGATCATTTTATCAACTGCTAAAGTAAAAAAGATACAGTGGCACTGAATGAGAGCAGCATCCTAGTAAGAATCCTATCCTATATTCCTATGTCAAAGGATAGTAAGGTACTAAAATCACTTGCAGACACGAATGACCACACTATATGTGAGGCAGAGAACAGCATTACGAAATCTTAAAAATCATTCCAAGGGAACATAGAATCTTACAAAAATCAGAGGACCAGAGAAAAAGCATTTCAACATAAATACACTGTACTTGAAGTACTTTCTTTGATACAAACTTTGTCATACATGCACACAGGGACCAATAGAAAACTAATCTTTCATACCACCATTACCAATAATTAGGAGCCAATCCTTTATCTGAACTTCATATCACTAAACAACAACTTCAGAAACCCAAAAATTCAGATGTATGAATTCGTATATACTAAACATTATCCACATAACTTGTGGTTCATAAATGATATAATGGTTGACAAAAGCATCAATCATATATATTCCATATAAGATTTCTTCTCTTGCATATCAGGTACACACACAGCTTCAGATTCTAGCAACCTACAGTTCATGGAGTTTTAAGCAAAATGTGAAGCTCCAGATCCATTCTATCAATAACGATTTCTAACCCTAATCTAAAACCCTCCAAAATCTCTAAGATTATCATCTACATTCATCTTCACTTTGCAGTCTAAAGGATCAACAACAAAATTGCCAGTATAACCAACTACTAAAGCAAACTCTCGAGCATCACTGTATCCACAATCCAAGTAAATGAAGGCAATTCAAAAGAAGAGAGCTTACGCGTGAGCAAAGGCCTTAAGGAAATGAACATCCTGAGCAATATACTGACGAAATGTATCGATCTTGAGATTTCCGGCGGCTAAACAGACGGCGAATGGGCTGTAGATAGAGAAGAGGCACTCTCTGTTAAACTTGATCCAAAGCTTCCTTGCGAGAGTTTCTTCCGAGTTGGGAGTAATCGCCATCGCTGAAGAGAAGGCGGCCGCCGCCATTGGACTAGTCGCCGATCGGAAGACCGGAGACTTGATGGGAACCCAGAGAGAACAGATCGGCGCGGCGGTTAGTGGAGATCGGAGGAGACCAAGCGAGTTATTGATGAGGTGCGTGGAGAAGAGGAAGCGCATAAAACGAGTCGAGATTATAGAGAAGAGCTTCGCTCGTTGTGCAAGGCTCGATGCAGAGACGAGAGTACTCACTTTTTTTTTTTTCGCTTCTAATTTTGATATCTTTATTTTATTTTTATTTTTTCTTCTCAGCTCAATTGTCTTTTACTTATGATTTTATATCACAAAACAATCCAACCAACTAGTTACAAAACCAGAGAAACCAAAGATAAAGGCCGAAAATAAACGAAAGACTAAGCCCAATACTAATACGGTTATTTAGACAACCTCTAAATTAATGATTCAAAACATTTATTTTTCACAATCTAGGATGGCGACGGCGGCAATTTGTTTCAAGGGGTAAGAGATGGCTTTTTCGTGGTTTGTTTTCGGTTTCTATGGGGTCTGCATTGATTGCTTTTGGTTATGGTTGGTCTCAATCTCGCAGTTGAGGAACTGCGGGATTCGATTTACGGTTATTGATTGGAGATTGTGGGGTAGGATTGGGAAATCATTTGGGATCGGGTTTCATATCTGTTCCAATGATTCTACTCGGGATTCTTTGGGGATCTGGTTATCCATTGGTGGCAGCTGGAATCGGTTTTGGCAATGTCATCTAGTGATGGGATTTCAAGATTATCTTGTCCATCTTCCGGATCGCGAGAGAAAGGCGAGTTATTTTGTTTTAGGAAATGAGAATCCATCTTTACTCAGAGGCCAACTGATACAAGATTCGGTGGTGAGCTTTTATTAGGATAGAGATGACGGCTTCACAAGATGGCGGTCGCTTCTCTCTTGTGAAGGAAAGATGGTCGCTGATGTAGATCTGACACGATGGCAGTCGCTTCTCTCGTGTGGGATCGAATGAAGGGATGTGATTGGTCTCTGATACAGTACACGATCTTAGCCTTTTGGAATCACACACACAAGACAAGAACATGTTTATTATCTTAAGAACACTTAAAGAGAAGAAGTGGAGGAAGTTCGGTTCTTTATTGATAATCAATGGTAAAAATCATACAACTGCTGCAGGGGACTTTATAAGAGTCATTCAGCTAGCCCTA